CTCTATAGCATGTATTTTGGTCTACGATAACTACGATAATCATGTCAATAGGCTTATGTACCTTGGTAGCATACGTCCAAGCAGAATGTCAGCTTTTTTCTTCTCTTCCACAAGTTCTTTGGAGCGGTCTTCAACCTGGAATATGTCAGATAGTCATTTTATCATTGTTACCACTTACGTCTTCTTAATGTTGCTGTAATCATATCTTTATGTAAATATGTATACATATGTACTGTTAAGTGCTTTAATAAGGTAGCCTTCAGTTCTTTGGCGATTCTTACGTTTTCTCTTCTTCTCAGATCTGCGTGCGCGTGATCCCTCCGTAGACAGGCTTCATTTTTAAGCGCTCATATTCAATGCATATGTTCCACCTGATGGACGATAATATCACTGGTTAGGATTGAACACGCATGTGCTTCGCGAGGGAGATGAGAGTTTGTTATGACTGTTCTTGCAAAATCATCTGCTTTACACATGAAAATCTCCAGCCTTTGAGCCTTTCCGTTGAGGCCGATTACGCCATAAATGAGGAGAAAATGTGGTCAGAGGATCAACGTATTTCAAGACATAGAATGAAAGCAGCTAAATGTGTTCAAATCTTAGCAACCCTGGAAATTGGAAATGTGAGTATAAACAAAAAGTGGTGAGAGGGAGGGGAAGACCGCATTGCACGATGATACATAACCAAGTGTCATCCAGTACTTAAGCAAATTTAGGCATGCTTTTCACCAAGACGTAGTCTCGTGATCAAAGAGCCAGACAACATGGATCTGCATTGTTCTTTGGCTTACGTATTATTATTTGAATGCAGTCTAGTAAGCGCCGCTTGGAAAAAATAGCAGAAAGATATGAAAGCTCTTAAACGTTGACTATTGGCTCAAAAATAATGTCCAAACATATTTTCATTGCTCTACAATCTTAAGATTTTCTTCATCTGAAATTGCCGCCTAAAAGAGATTTCTAATGTGCGAAGACTTGTAACAACTATGCTAGTGATTCACAAATTGCTTAATCTTACCTAAATGCATTTACTACTCTAATCACCAGTATTACTCCGACCATTTATTTTAGACTTGCATGAGTTTAATTTTCTCAAACTGAGCTTCTTGAAGGATTTTTCCATGGATAGTTCTCCTTTTGCAAAACAGCAAAACAGATTGCGAGCTGGTAGAAGCGGCCATTACTCACTATCGGTGCAAAAATAGTGTATGCTCAAGTCACATTGATTTATGAGCCATTAGTCAAATTGGACATTTCAAGAACCGGACTAGCCTTTCGACAATGAGCAGAGCTTTCATGACTAACAC